GGGCGGAATGGCTTCTCTGGCAATGCTCATGTCTTGCCCCGTCACAGCCTCCATCAATGACATTGCGTCTCCCCGTGGACCGCTACCTTTGGCGTCGGCTGCTCGCGCCCCTCGGAGATTTGCGAGCGGTAACGTGAGGTTGACTATGCTGCCGTGGCCTGAAGCTACAGACCTCAACGCCTTCATGAATTCCCGCTCTGCGGTTGCTATGGTCGCGGCATTTCTGGCTGAGGGTATGGGGTTCTCGAAATTGGACCCGGCGCGAGAAAGGCGGCCTGATTTGGCCAGTTGCAACAATTGGTCTCGAACAATTCCCTCGAGTTCGGTTGCCCGCCAGGAGGCGTGCCCTTCGACCTTGTCGCTGCCAGGCCCCGCCCCGCCCGGGCATTCGTAGTACCTGTAAATTCGGTCAACCCTTTTCGCCATCCTTCCGCTTCCATGATCTCTTTCGGGTGAGGCCAAACACGCCCTGGCCGCACAACGCGCAGCGAGCCAGTCCGCCAAGTAGATAGGGCTCTGCAGACGGAGCGCGACGGACCGGTTTACGGTTTTCGAGAACTTGCTGAGCCAGGTTGAACCTGGCCCCGATCGACGAGGGGTCGGTGGGACCCTGAGATACGTACCCCGTAGCGAGTGTACGTTCCGACGTAGACCCTGTTTCGCAACACCCCGGCAATGGCAACGGGTGTCCACGGGCGCCCCTTTCGGGTCATCCGCCCCTGTTCGTTAAGCCCGGCGGCTATCTTCCGCAAACCCTGCCCGCCGGCAGGGGGCAGTCCTTCGGCCGGGGGCGGTCCAGCGTAGGCATCGAACATATGCCTGACGACGGCGGCCTCGGCTTCGTCGACCTTGAGTTGGCCGTCCAGACCGGCCCAATAGCCGTACGGAGTCCGGCCGAGCACCTCGCCGCGGGACGCCTTGGCGAGAATCGCCTCCCGTATTCGGCGCAGCGACCCGGCCGATCTGCCCGGCAGGCTCAGGTGTCGGAGCCCGTTTTGCAGGAGGTCCGGGTAGTCGGAGTCGAGACATCGGACTTCGGAGCCCGTCGCCTGTACTTCGAGCAGCCGTTCAACCAGCGATTCAAGATCATCAGCCAGGTGCGTGGAATCCGGGATAATGACCAGCGCCGGCCGGCCTGCCGGCCCTCCGATTCTCGCGATCAGGCCGGCGTAATTCTTGTCTCCGTCGTATCCGCAAACGTCTCAACCAGGTTGTGGTGGAATTGATCGCAATAGTCGCGTATCGCCTCGTCGCCAACGGGGCCACGCGGCAATGGGTAACCGGACCCGACCCCGGATGAGGCATCGCCGGGCAGGGGGGACTTATAGATTCCAACCGCCCGCATCGGTTAGTCGTTCAACAGGATCCTGCCGCAACTACTACAGGAAACGAGGCTGCCTGCGGCTCGAATTCGAGCCAACTCCCTCAGCGGCAGACGTACTCTGCACCCCTGGCACACACCGCGCTCAACACGCACCACGGCTACACCACCCTTGCGGATCAAGAGAGAGTTATAAAGGGAAAGGGCCTCTGCCGGGAGGCCGGACGTGGAGATCTTGCGCTCTTCGTGCATCTTGAGGCACTGGCGGCCCAGACGCCTTCTCATGGACTTGAGTTGGCTCTCGTTTTCGCCCCATATCCGTTCAGCCTCTTCCAATTCGGCCTGGCGCTGCTCGTTCAACTTCATCGCTTCCGCGGCTGCTATCTGGGCGGGTTCGGACGATTCGTCTACCTGGGCAAGTTCCCGTTTGGCACCTGCATGTTCCGTCTCGATGGCTGTCAGTTCACGAACGTTGGTGATGGCGCCGCCGTACAAGCGCTCTTCCAAGCGGGCCAGGCGTTCGCTCAGGGCGGCCGATTCAGATTCCAGCCTGGCAGACTCCAGCCTTGCCTCCAACTCTCCTTTGCGGGCTCTTTCGGCGCGTTCCCTCAGGCTTGGCAGTCCGCCTTGCGTTTCAAGGTCGCGCGTAACCCGCCGGTATTCACTGCGTCGAGAGGCTAGTTGCTGGTCGGAGGCCTGGAGTTCATGTAGTGCCCTTGCTGAATTCAAATGATCTCGCTCTCAGATGCTTCAAATACTGCTGTTCGAAGATAAAAGTCTAGGTTCGGGACAACATTATGTCAACAAATCAAAACGTCAAATCCATGCAACGAGGAGTGTCGGAGCACCCCTGTCGGCTGTAAATTATCCTGCATGACACATAATATCCATCACAGAGATTCACGGGCCTGCGCAGCAGCAAAAAATGTCGAATAGCAAGAAACAGAAATATGACTACCATTTGCCGGAGTGTGTGATCGGGAGGCCCCGCACCCGGATCGTGTGCACCCTCGGACCTGCGACCGATCAGGTCGAGATCATGTGCGACTTGATTCGGGCCGGCATGTCGGTAGCCCGTCTGAATCTTTCCCATGGTGACAGTGAATCTCACCGGAACTACGTCAAGGACGTCCGGGCGGCAGCGGAGATCACCGGAGCGCCCATCGGAATTCTCGCCGACCTGCCGGGTCCCAAGTACCGCTCCGGCGATGTTGACGAGGGGACTATTCAGCTAGAACGAGGCGCTCGGCTAACCCTGACTGCGTCCATTGTCAAAACCACCGTCGATCGCACCACGGTTTGGCCGGCCGGAATTCACGACGATGTTTCGGTCGATTCTCGAATCCTGATCGACGAGGGCGCCATCGAGTTAGTGGTCGAACGCGTCGACGGTGTCGACGTTCTCTGCCGGGTGACGTCACCCGGCGCGCTGAAATCTCGAAAAGCCGTAACGACGCCAGGGGTAACTTCGACGCTCGACTACCTGACGAATGAGACCAGATCTGGGCTCGAATTCGTCAAAGAAAACGATGTCGAATTCGTCGGCCTGTCCTACGTGCGCAATTCAATTGACTTGGAGCAGGTCAAAGACTGTCTGAAGGACAGTACTTATCCACACCAGTTGATCGCAAAGATCGAGGTGGCTGAAGGCGTCAAGAACCTGAAATCCATTCTCGATCAGGTCGATGGGGTGATGGTCGCACGGGGGGACCTCGGCGTGGAGTTGCCCATCGAGGACGTGCCGGGCATCCAAGGCGAATGATCCGGGAAGCGAACGACGCCGGAAAAGTCGTGATCACTGCGACGCAGATGCTGGAGTCGATGATCGAGTCTTCACATCCGACCCGTGCGCAGAAGCGTCAGACGTGCACAACGCGCGTCCGCGATGGCTCCGATGCGATCATGCTTTCTGGGGAAACGTCGATCGGCAAGTATCCGGTTAGAACCGTCGAATACATGGCGCAGATCGCGCGCCGCGCCGAGGAGGAACTGGACTACAGCGGTCTATTGGAGCGGCGTCGTGAAGCGCGCGAGGCAAGCGGCCAAAGCTGGATGAGGCCATCGCCTATGGCGCCGTCCGTACCGCCCGGGCCGTAGGCGCCTCGGTAATCCTGGCCTTTACCGAGTCCGGCAGCACAGCCGCGCGTGTTGCGTCCTATAGACCGTCAACCGCTGGTCGCCATGTTGCGCGACGAAACCGCCGGATCTCGACTCACTCTTCGCTGGGGATTGATAACGCTTTACGCTCCGGAATTCAGCCTTCTCCAGCAGATGTTCCCTGAGGGCTCGCGGGCGGCGAAAGAGACCGGTTTCGCATCGGACGGCGACCTGGCGGTAGCGGTTGCGGGCATACGATCGGCGTTCCTGGGAACACCAACTTGCTGCGCGTGATCAGAATTCCGGAGCCGGTCACCCCATTGTCACCCGGGGTTTGAACCGGGCGCGGCTGGGCCGATGAACGCGGCAAGCTCGCTTTTCAACTGATCTATGGTCGACCGATTGGCCGATACGTGTCCGTAACATGCCGCGTTGAACAATTCGGTTACCAGCCCAACACGCGCTCCTGGCAACGCCAACTGCATGTCCGGCACGCGCTCGTTGGGTGTCAAATTTGGCGTGAACACCAGACCCCTTGAAACGCAGGCCGACAGGTAGTCGAAATACAGCAAGAAGCTCTGTCAGAAAACCACACACAGTAGCGCGAAGAAGGCCGCGCGCTGTCCTGAGGTATGCGGCGGTACAAGTGCCAAAGCCTTGTGTCAGGGGCTGGTTGGGGTGCAAATGCCTGCCGAACCGTGAACTGGATTTTGTGCGGGGTCGCTCTCGCTTACAGCAGAACATCGCTGCGAATCGGTGTGCAACCCGCCGAACACTAAACCGGTGACCGTCCGCTGATTCCCCCTGCCGTCCGCCGGCTAAGCCTGTGTCGCGCGGTAACCGTAATGGAACCGCTCGTCACCGCCCGCGGCGACAAAAACCGAACGCCGCCGTCGGAACACCGAACGCCCGCGTCGACAACCGAACAGCCGCGGCTACAAACCGACCGCCGCGGCGACAACCGACGCCGCGGCGACAGATACCTAACGCCGCGGCGACACCGAACGCCGCGGCGACACCGAACGGCCAACGCCGCGGCTGACAAACCGAACGCCGCTCGACAACCAAAACCGAAGGCCGCGGCGACAACACCGAACGCCGCGGCTGACAAACCGACTCCGCGGCGACACCGTACGCCGCGGCGACACGAACTCCGCGGCGACAAAACGACACCGAACGCCCGCGGCGCCCAAACCGACCGGCCGCGGCGACACCCGACGCCGCGGCGACACCGAACGCCGCGGCGACACCGAACGCCTCGGCGACACCGACGCCGCGGGCAACCGAACTCCGCGGCTACACCGAACGCCGCGCGAACCCCGAACGCCGCGGCGACACCGAACGCCGCGCCGACACCAACCGCCGCGGCGACAACCGACACGCCTCGTCGACAACCGAACGCCGCGGGCCCCCCCCCCCGACACCGAACGCCGCGGCGACCCCGAACGCGGCGCCGCGGCGACACCGAACGCCGCGCGACACCGAACTCCGCGCGACAACCGAAGCCGCGCGACACCGACGCCGCGGCGACAACCGAAACGCCGCGGCACCCGTGCCAACCCGGAACCTACGTACCCGACGAGATCCGTGGGTTCGTGGAATCGTCGCGGAGCTGCGCACGCTTGGGTCCGACAGATGCAGATGAGTACGGACGGGCGGCCTAGCCTGACCCGGTACCCACATTATTCGTTCTGGACAATTCCGGCACGCTTCCTCTGGGCAATGCGGTAGCCGATGGTTGCGATGGACATTCGTTCGTAACCGCGCCACATGATCTGGTGTCCGGGGGGCGGGTCGTGCGTTCGGTTCTGGTAGCCGCCGAGGATGGCGAGCAGGAGGACTGCGGCGGCGAGATGGTCAGGGGGGCGGCAGGCCGAGTTCTTGGGCATAGTCGGTCAGGAAACGCAACTCGATTCGGAGGAGCCGCTTGCGAAACTCTGGGGCTTGCGGT